TAGCGGGCATCCTTTCGAAAAACTCAAGTGCGGCGCAAAAAGACCGAAGTCATTTCCCAAAGCTCGATTTGTACTGCATTGCATCTCGTTCAATATAGGTTAATTTCAAGCTCTAAATTTTGAATCCCTAAATTTTGAAAATTAATCCATGAAAAGATCGACACTTGATGGAGGTAGGTTGATTGAACCCCGGATGGTATGAAATATATTGCCAAAGAAAATTGCCATGAAATTAATTTTATTAAAATTAATTAATGTCTTATTTCTTCTGTCATTTGTTGGATAAGATGAATATATACTCATGAAATTGTTGTGGGGAAGAGAGTTCTTGCATTTATTAACCAAAATCTACTCTTCCACGAATAAGTCTTGACTTCAAATCAATCCACGAATAAGTTAATGAAAATTAAATGCCTAAAAAATACTTCAATAGCGAGAAGATCATAAAACAGTATTCTGAATTTTTGTTCCTAAAATTGATGGAAAGTGTGAATATTTAAACATCCACTTTCGCAATAAGCCCAAATTTCCTGTAGATGAATACTGAACAGCAACAAAAGGATCAGAATTGATAAATTCAACCAGCAAATATTGCTTGTCAAGTCTGATTAAGTCTATTAAGTCCAATGGGTATTTTTATGCTATACTCTATACAGTATATAAGACACACTCAACTCCAAAAGAATCCTGAGGGTCTCTTGTAAATGATTATTTTGCTTATCATATTTGCTGAATCTTATGGATGGTAAGATAAAAATTGCAATGAGAATATCCTGAACATAGCTCTGGGTTTGGCTGATCGCCTAAATTTTATTCGCATAAACCATGCACTCCTAGTTATCATATGCATGACAATTATTCATCTTTGAGATGGCTATATGAACTTAAATTATCCAAATGTTTTTCCTTATTTATTGACTGGCCCAAAAAATAGTTTGCCCTGGCAGACAGGTTTTTTTTTTTTTTTTTCTCATTCCAAGACTGCGTTTTTTCCATCGTTCGGCTCTATATATCAACCACTGAGAACAACAAAAAAAGGCCTGGTGTGTGTGCTTAGAAAGAGCCCATCAAGCAGTTTTTTTCCTACTACTTTGCCTGGTTATTAGGCCAGAAAGGGGGAAATTAGGCAGAAAAAGGATGAACAGGAAAGAGCTGATGAGGGACCGCGGCTTGACGAGGTTTTTGCTGCGCACTTCAACCAATTTGAGGTCAGTTTTATGTATATAAAGCTTACGTGAAATGAATTGTTGCCATTCAGAAATTATGTGCTTGTCAGATTATCTGATATGTGATGCCAGATTTGAAAAGCAATTTTTTTTACCTCACACTAGGCTTAAGGTGCCTTTTGTGTTAATAGAAGTCTTCACAAAATTTACACCAGAGAATCTCTTCTTGGGTTCGACGACTTTATTTGTAAATCATTAAATGTGAGCTTACCATAATAATGAAAAGGAGTCTTGAACTTGAGGAACAAACCTGGATAATTCAAGTAAGAAATGAGAAAAATTCCAAAATTTGAGGAAATTTTAAATTTTCATGACAATAGATTCCCAAAAAAGAGAAAACAAAAAATAAAACCTTACAATTTAAGGAAAATTAAAATAATGAGGAAATTTACATTTTCTGTTTGCTTCTGATCACGTATTTTTTAATATTTAATTCAATGCGTATTATTTATTAATGTTTTCGTCATATTCCTGTGGGTTCTGTTAATTTGGCTAGCAATTGACAGAAGCAAGATTCACTGTTTGAAAAATTATTGTGCATACACCAAATGACCTGATAATAAATTTGGATGACAGTATTAAGACCACCACACTTCTGTTTTTGAAAATAGAGTGATGATGCTTGACAACTAGCGTGATATTTGTTATTTTACTCACATAGTTTTCTTGAAATTTCAGTTATGAGAGAATGGCTTTTCTTGATAACGCTCCATTTTCTCACAGAATTTTAAAATGCATGATTAATGATGCAATTTCATTTAACCTTGAAATTTCCAGATGTTTCTCGTTTACCAATAAAATACAAAGCGCGTAACGTCGTCTTTTATTCAAAAAATGAAATTTGAATTAGATTATCAAGACGTGGTAAATTTCATATTTGGAATTCATCTTCAAGAACTTTATAATAAAAAGCAGATTATTTGATGGAAAAGCTTCGAATAAAATCGCGAGTCAGGATTTATTTTTGCAGACAAGTTTCGCTCGAAACTTTTGACATTGATGAGATGCCGTCTCACGGAAACGCTTTGAAACTCTCTGCATTGAATAAACTGTTAATTTATGATCGATTTCAAGCGTTCCGGCAACTGTTGAAATTTTTTGCAGCGTCGGCGACGAAGGAAAAGTGATCATCAACTTCGAAGAGGCTCTGTTTGCTATGCTCGAACAAGACGGGAAAGTGAATGCGGGGAAATTATTCAAGGTGACGAGTGCGAATAAGTTTATAGAAAGAATTTTCAAATTTTCTAACGATCATTAAATTTCGTTTTAATATCCTCAGAGCTTTGAGGAACAAGGAATCCGTCGCGACGACCCGAGGTTGAGGACGATCATCGACACCTTGTCGCAAATGTCGTTGAAAATGAGTGTCGACTCTGATCTCGGGGAACCGGTGCTTATAGAAAACCTGGCCATTGACAAAACTTCCTTCATCAAGTAAAAAACAGCTGTTAAATCTCCTTTTCAATACATTAAAAAAATCATTAAAAAATTCACAGAATAGTCAAAAACAACCGGATGATCTTCTCAAAGTCCTTCCGAGCCGCCTTCGTTCTCCCGGAGTTTCGCCATTTCTCAGCCACCATCAAACAATTTTACAACGAATGCAAAGAAATCCCGACACAAAACGCCGTAGTATGTCCATTATACAAGAATTCAATTTTTCTTGTCAAAATAGAGACTTTCTCAGGTTTACAATCGCATTCCGCAAACTGCCAAGGCCGATCCCGGGGCTTTCGGGGTCGCAGTTTGTTCCATCGACGGTCAGCGATTCTCTGTTGGAGACACGAAAACCTTTTTCCTTTTGATGTCCATGAGGTGAGAAAATATAGATAATAACCAAAATCTTCNTGGTTTAAGGTTGCTGCTTCCATTTTTGGCAACGTATTCTAAAAATATTCATTCCTTTTCCGAGTTCCCCTCTGAAGGAATATTGGCCATTTGAGGTATCATGGTTCCAAATTTTCTCCGTAGAGTAAGGCAAAGGTATTGAATATTTATAGCCCTATTTTCAGACCTCCTGCCAAATGAAATCCCTACCGTCAAAACAAACCATGATGATTAATTCTGAAATTTTATGCGGAATAAAATCCATGCCCAACGCTTTAAAAAAGAAAAGTTTTGGAATCATTTGTCCGTCTATACTTCTCTCACATGGAACCTCCCCCAACAGATTTGAGTCAAAGATGTTACAAAACATCATTTTCTATTTCCAGATAATTCAACACCCACTCCAATCCTACTTCATATAATTGGATTATTTGAATCTGAATAGAATAAAAAATTTTTTAGGAAGTTTGTCAGAGCATTTCACACTACATTAGGATAATTTAATTTTTTTAACAGGGTCCAGCGTTCATCAAAAAGTAATTTCGGCAAGAAATCCGCACTCTATAAATCAGAGGTTCTCAACCGAAGTTTTGAAAACCTCAAAGGTTTTCTGATAATCCTGACCCAGGTGCTCCATGCGTGATGGCTGTTCCAAAAATAATCGAAGTTGAATTACCTTAGATTCAATGAATTTAAGAGGAGGAAGTAGGATTTTCAAAGTGTAGTGGAAAAACAAGGCATACGTAATTTAAAGTACTGTATTAAGGTTATGTACGAAGTTGCGTCCCGCCTTATTAAAACTGAAAATTTATTTTCATTGGCGTATTATTTCGGAGAAGAGAACGATGTAATTATACATAAAAAAACAAGTTGTGTCAGACGGATTCAATCAATGCTTGAATGGAACCAATGGGACTCCTAACTAAACTAATGAAAACCTGTATACTTATGCTTCTCATAAAAACACACACAAAATGTAAAACTCGTATCTCGCTTGATTTCCTTAGATCTAGATTCTGAAACTATGAATTATAAACCGACATTAAAAGACTTCCAATTAAAGGGTGACAAATGCAATAAAATCCTGCTCTTGGTTTGTTTACACATTATGAAACTGCGCCTATTGTATGCAAAACTCAGTCCTTGACGAATTTTATAGAATTTTGCGATCACCTCTGATATCTCTTCAAGACTCCCGCTAACTTCTACAAAGAAATCTGCAGCTTATTACACCGTGGGATGAATTCCATATTTTCCGGATAAAAGCATAAAATTCTCTGCAAATCAACCTTTTCTTAATTCCGAAAATAAAATTCAACAGAAAAAATTGCTCAAGCTATGAATGCTATAAATGGATTTCATTCAATTGTTTCCCATGAACAATAATTCGCATCACGTAAACTATAAAGGTTCTAAAAGCATTTGCGGGCTTATTAATTTTTTACAAAAATCAATTCCTAAGACTACAGTATAGAAGCCTTTTCAAATTATCATGATCTTTCTTTCATCATATGAAATCGAATGTTTCTAGGTAATTGATCGATTGATGTACCAGATTTATGTACCAGCAGCTGTGAGCGTTCACGATAGGTGAGAAAAATAAAAACTGTCCTAGAAAATAGTTATCATTTGATTAAACAATATATAGAAAGAAAAGAATATTCAAAAAGGAATCATGTAAAACTAGCACTGCTTCCTGGTCCTCAAAGATTTGGGAGAGTACCTTTATTGTATCAAGTTGTGAGAAACCGAGGTCTTATAAAATTTAAATTCGGTATCCTTATGGCATGGATTGATGACAGATAAGAACCTTGAAATATGGTCTTATATGCAAACCTTTTTTAAATTTTAGAATCTTCGATCGCGATTCCGCATCAATTTTTTCTTTCCCACAATTTATCTGCGTTTTCTTTTTCTCTAAAAAAAACAGTTGCTATATACGTAATTTCAGGCGGAATTCGAAGGAACTCGACCACGGAGCTTCAAAACAGAATTCAGAACCTCAACCTGAAAAGTAATGCCCCTATTCAACTGAGCAATCCCATGCTCGCGGATCTCACCTTCGCAGATCCGGAATAGCGCCAAAAATTAGAATAACTCCCCCCTCCCCCATTTTTTTTTTACTTCTCGTTCCAAAGGGGGGGGGGGGGTTCGCAAATATGTGCGCACGAACGTCTCGGTTCGTATAGGAAAAGAAGAGGCGGGAGGGGGATAAGAATGAGAAGCAAAACGCGGCGGATCGGATCGAATCGGTCCGCCGAGGGCGACTCGTTTGCGCATGCAAATCCGTGACGCCCGTGCAACGAGCAGCATGGCGGCTGGCTGTCGGGTGAAATGAGAAGAAGAAGAAGAAAAAAATATATATATAAAGAAGGCTTCTGTGCTGAATTTTCTCTCTTTCTTTCTCATCCCCTCCCCCCCTTCTTTCCTTGCTCGAGACGCTCTCTATATAGTCCCGACTTATTCTTCTGGCCCACATGGAGGGTCAAGGAACCTTGGCTGCTCCAAGGGGGGGTTGCTCCCTGAAGGAGCCTGATGAAGGAGCCAGGAAAAAATACCCGAAAGGAGCAAAGGGGGATTGATGGGGTGTAGCAGCAGTTGCAGGTGGGAATGTACGGTGGTGCCTCATATATATATATACAGGAAACCCAATTCGTTCCCCCAACGATGAGAGGTTCCAGAAGCAGGGATATACGCATCAGACGAGTTTCTCTAGTTATTTTGAACGCGTAAAATGAAATATATATCTACCGGAAATGCATCATTTCGTGTCAACTCTGAAAATGATTGAAATGAAAGACGAAAAAGGCTTATGATCATTGGGAACAATGAAAGGATATGTGGTCCTGCATTATGCAGTATAGTGGGTCTGGAATTCATTAACACCTTGATTTCCAGTCAGGTTCTTTGAATAATCACCACACAGAATTCTTTGAGAAACTGAGTAGATTCAAAAGCACCGACTGACACAAACAAATGAATTGTCGGGATTCGGGAATGATTCTGTGACCAAAACCTTCTATAGAATACATTTGCACAGGTAGACTTTCAGTGCAACGAAATTCAAGGGACCAGAAAAAATTGAAATAATTCAGTTGTAGAGAACTCTCATCATATACACGTGGAAAGCAAAAAAATCCTTACACAGAGAAAATCGTTGTAGACGATAGTTTTTGAGATTCGAGAGTCCACCTGTATATTCACACAATCATCATGGAGTCCCAAGCAATGCCAAGAGTTTATTTCTGGGATTCACACTAATTCGACTCACGCGGCAGACGACACTATTGATAAATTTCTCCAAAAAGTGATTTTGCAGTGTCAGCAAGTCACATCAGTCTCGGCTTCAGAGTTGAGTTCATAGACTTTAGACTGTGCGAATTTTGAAGCCGCTAACACAATGTAAAGATTCCTTCATTCCTCAAAAAGAACCCTTCTAGGATAAGGTGAATAAAACCCACTGGGGCATCCTAGATATCACTAAGGAAGAAAAAAAAAAACGCCATACAGTACTGTACTTACATCAGTTTCAGTAACAGTATTCTTGAAAAAGAAAAGACTCACGCCTCTGGGAAGATTTTGCATTGGGCATGTTTTTGCGGGGTCCATTTTCCAGTGGAAAAGCTCATGCATGGCATAAAGCAAATGCCGTATTAGAATTTCGATCGATATAACTGAAGTATCGCTGAAATCAAAGAGACGCTGTCTAACTTTACACAGTACGACGGGTTACACTTTTCCGCGCGGACTCATTTCGGGTCGGACTTGAAATAATCTGAAACCAGGGATTTTTCAACAACATTTTTCTCATGTTCGCTATTTCCAAGAGGTTAGGCAGACACCTTTTCAATATCATCACAAGCAATTTGTGAACACTCCTCAGCCCTTTTGATCCATGTGTTGAAACAGGCCTTCAAATAATGTACATTGAGACCCCCACATGCGGACTCCTCAACATGGGGACAATTCAACTTAGGGACATTTATTTTTCAATAAAAAAATCATAAAAAGGCCCAACATACAGACACTGACTCAACATGAGGACATTGCATGATAAAATTGCCAAAATTGTTTAGGAAAATTGATTTTTATTAGGCTTAATTGCAAGAAACAGATATTTCCAACCCTAAGAACTATGCAAGAAAAATGCTTTGGTACTTTCCCCATCACTTTCCCATCCATTCAGCTAATTCAAAAAAATTACCTGTAGCACAGATTGACTTCCTTCTCTCTTATTGTGACTTGGATGTTATTTTTACAGATGCCAACATTTCAATGAACTATACAGCAGTAATACTATTCAATGCTCTAAATTTTCTTATTGCGTTGAAAATATATTCACTGCATCAAATTCAAGTGGCAAAAAAAATTTTCATGGAATTCTGAAGAAAATTTCTGTCATAAACCACCAATTAAAAATTACTTAGTATAAGTCTATGGGAAAACAAGACTCAACTTAGGGACAATTCCACTTAGGGACACTCCTGATGGACCAGTTATGTCCACATCTGGGGTCTCACTGTATTCAGTTGTTAAATTTTGAAGCTTCACAGAACAGCAGGAACAAGCTGATCCGCGGAACCGTGTAACCCCCTTGCATTGTGGCTTGCTAAAATAAACTGGATAGAAAATGAGCGAACAATAACTGTATTTTTCTCCAGAGTTTCACAGTTAATTCAGAGGAATAAACTGTTTAATTTGTTCTAAGCACTGCACTTGATGCAAAATTTCTTTATCAAACCTTTTGTGATTCTAAAAACATGAAATGAAAAATATTCCAGTTTTTGACACCTTGGTAAACCATCTTACAAGTACAGTACCACATTTGCGTAGACATCCTTATTTCCAGCCTTATCTACAATACTCCGGTGTTCTTATTAATCTGACTTGAGAAATCATATGACCAGGTTTAACGTTTGATGTCCACTATTGAAAGCAGACGGACATAGAACTTTTGCAATGTTGATGATCAATGCTTGATGCGATGGATTTCACTGCATGCTGAATGTCACCAAAATTTGTGTTGCCAAGGAAAAATGCACATAAATGGGAATTAAATGAATATTCATAATTTTTTCTAAATTGAATGAAAATTGTCAGATTCTGAGATCTGCCAACAGTGAAATTTTAGAAGGAAACTTCACAAATGTAACGATGCGAGATTTCAATCCGTGAGGATGCATGCATCCACTAACTGAACGTTAGCGGCACCTACCTTGGCAAAACTACTTGAAAAGATCCAAACGTTGAAACAGTTGGTAGAGGTCGCTTCTCTGTTCACAGCAGTGACACCTGTATAGCCGTGTTCAAAGATTGTGGAGCCCGTCATCCACTGCTCCCAGGTCAGGATCGCTAGCTACGAGGTAAAGATGTCACCCTACATTTCAAGTCATGGATGGCAGCACCGGTTGAATTTCTTCCGGATATTTTTACGATAAAAAAATATTCATCTTCATACTCTTTTTTGCGCATTGGGTGACTCATTCTATTATTTTTCCAAATGAAGAATTTTTACTGAAGAAACGATTAAAAGAATGCATTAAGAACAGAAACCTTACGAACTATGCATCCTGTCACTACAATGATTTCAACAAACTCGTCACAGAATATCTAAAATGTAGCTATGGACTTTGATCTCTTGGAACAAGCTAGAATGGGTGCCAATTGCCATTCCTTTTAGCTTGGTGAATCCTCTGCTGTTCCGATGATCAAATTGATATGAATTATGATTTGTTTGTACTGCTGCAGCTTGGTTGGATGACAGAGGTTGCTTATGGATTCCAAAGACCGTGAGTCATAGTTGCCATGAGTACCACACCACCAGCATGGCGCAACTTGTCCAAAAAATGGCCCTGCATCTTTGGTGCAATGAAGAGCAACCATGCAGTCCAACCACATGATGTCCAGAATGGAAAAATAACTGGCCACTGCAAGCTTTCAATATGTCAGAAAACTGGCTGCAGGACAGTTGAATGCATCGCATTGTTTTGCAAGCGTCAATCTCTGAGAAGGGCACTTAGCATTTTTGTTAGTAGTTTGCTTTTTTTCTGGAATAAAAAGCTTTTGAACTGCGGCTCGGCTCTGTCGGCCTTTGAGACATTCTGCAATTTTTTTTTGTGCCGAATGTTTGCGAATTTCGCCTCCGACGTCACTGAATCTCAATTCGAGGGATTCTTTAATAGGAAGGACCCAGCCATCAACTTGCTAATTCCTGCTGACTTCTTCCTACGTGTCTTCATCAACCCCTCGTAAATTACAATTATTTCTCGAGTACCTACCGACTCGAGTTCAATTCAAATTAAGTCAGTGCATTGGAATACGTTTTTGGAATTTTCAGAGGGGAAAAAAGCGTTGCAGTCTTTAAAGTAGATAAAGTGAAAAAAAATCCATATACTGAGTTGATGTGGGAAAATGGAACTCAGCTTTGCAGCTGCGCATTTGAGACATGGGATCGTTTTCGAACATCACCTCTTGATAAAGAACAGTATATATAATTGTATGTACAGTTGGTTTCTGAATTGCAAAACTGAACTCATCAACGGTTTATTTCATTGTGCAAAATTATTTTCTGCGGATCACAAATTCCCTAGTTTTCTAATGGAAATACTTAATATATTTCATTCATACGAAAATCAAAAACTGCTACTGCAGAAGCTAGATCCATAAAAATGTCTAATTTAACTCATTCGAAACACTGTTGGATCATAATGACATTGTTTCAGCTTAAATGTCCCTGAATTGTGTTTTTATCTCCTAATATCAGACTAACCCTTTCCAAGCGGAAGTATATATTTAGTGCATAAATATTGTAACCGTGGTCCATTTTTGCTGGTTTACTGACGCATACTCTTGATCGCATGAGCAATTTAGTAACCACCGATGTATCAAGTTACAATGTTCATGCAATTATTTTCGAAAAAATTTTTTAAAACAAGATTCAAGGGACACATGGATGGATTTCAAGCACTTTTGTCTGAAAAGTGAGTTATGTAAAAAAAAAACATTTGTTCAGCGTTGGTCATGAAAAGAAAAATTTATGCAGCGGATCACAGTATTTTTCACCCGAGTAATTCCTCGTG